ACAAGCTTATATATTTTGAGTTTACCTCCTGTTAAACCAAAAGCATAAGGAGTCGGATGCAATTTAAGGATGAGCTTGATCATTATGACTTCTATTACATTGCGTATAAAATTTGCTAGCTAGAAGTCTTTAAACAACATACTATTAATAACTAACCATTGCAAACATAAATAGAAATATAACTAACCTTAGTACAAAGTTACCCTATCCTGGATCTTGAGTCTGTTTTCAGTAGCCAACAAGAATCAAACTGCATATCAAATTGGTCTGTTTCAGTTCTTGGATAGCTTACAAAACCTTAAATCGTTTAGTGATCTATTTTATGCAATATAATAGCAATAATTAATAACTATTATTGTTTAAGACCAATGACAATTACAGTATATTGCATGTTTCATAAATATACTTACACCTATTAATCTATGCATATGTATCTTGGCCTAATTTTTAAAGTTCTACAATAATCAATAGATATTGAAATTGGTAGTGTAGCTAACAAAATAAACTTTTAACTCAATGGCTTACAAAAAACTCAAGCTTTGATTCAAGATTTTAACTTCGCTTTGAAATGTGATTTGTTTAAAATATTTAAAGCATTAAATTTCTGTTATTGTAAAAATCATTTTTTAAAAAAAATAATAATACGTCTGATAATGTCATAATAATTGATACGTAATTATGTGTATTAAATTAAAATCATATAAGAAGAAATCATGATTATATATAATCATATTTAACTCTTATTATAAATATTATTTACCCCTTTTTTTTAAAAAAAAATGAATTTTTAATGTAAAAAGTATAAAAGAGAATTTTCCTGTCAAGCTTCACTTCAAAATTATATAAAAATTCATGATGATACTATTGACAAACTTCTATAAGAAATCACTAAAGAAAAAGAGAAAAATAGGTATATTTTATGTCAGTCAAATGAAGATCACCTTGCAAGAGAAAGTCTAATGGAACTAGATGTCTAACTTAAAGATGATGAAGATGAAATAGAAATAGATAGTCAGCTTGGAGGTGATGAAGGTGAAATAGGAATAGATAGTCAGCTTGAAGGTGATAAAGGTGAAATAGGAATAGATAGTTAGCTTGGAGATGACAAAGATGGAATAGGAATAGATAGTCAGCTTGAAGGTGACAAAGATAGAATAGAAAGTTAGCTTGGAGATGTCAAAGGTGGAATAGAAATAAATAGTTAGCTTAAAGATGATGAAGGTGAAATACTTAGAGATAACAAAGGTGTAATAGATAATTGCTGGATAGGTGAATATAAGCTTGAAGACCAATTGAAAAGTTGGATAGAGGACATTTCAGAGATAGAAGAAATAAATAATCAAATAATAGTAAGTATTTATATATAAGGTCAAGTAAAGTTATACAAATAATAAGAACAATAAGCAATTATTTGTGTAACTTCTACACAAATAACAAATAAACTTTATTTTAATTATATAATTTAAATATATATATATAGAGGATTTCTATTTGTACCTGACGGGTACGTACCTGTCTAGTGATTATGTGACAAAAATCACATGCATAACGTACAGTATGTACATATGTATGTATAGCGAACTTACTCTATAACAGATAAACAAAATCTAGATATTCTATACATGTAATATTTCAAACTCAGTAAACCATCGCTAATACCAAGGGATCTCAATAATTTTATTTTATTTTATATCTACTTATTGGATTAGAAATAGAATATAGTATATATCGATAATACTGAATTAACAGCATAATGCTTAATCTTAATTCTCTCATTAATAAATGCTAATTTTATCGTTCAACATTTATTATTGAAACCAACTTTGCGATGCTTATTCGCAAACTTAAATACACTAAAATTATTTAAACCAATACAATAATTCTTTTTTTTTTTTTTTTTTAATCTTCAAAGGTGAGGCTATGCCTCTATCTTTATTAAAATCTAATTAAACTTCTTTACAAA